CAGAAGATGGCAGGACAGGAATGAGGGAGAAGCAAGGAGGAGGGGTGAGGGGGGACCAATACCCATAGCCTATGAGGTTAAAGAAAACCGTGGGAAGCCTAATGAGCTATCAGTTAAGTAATTAGCTGCTCTTTCAGTAACAGCTCCCAGCAGCCATATCTGAGCTACTGTGTTATCGAGGGGGTTATATGAATAAAAATATTTACATCCCTAATGCAAATGAATAAAATATTTTAACATATTTTATATTACTACTTGACAATATTCCTTTAATTATCAAAAACAAGTCTAAGAACATGTGGGGGAAGGACACAGTGGTGAATTCTGGAAGATGGAATCTCTTCTCTCTGCTGGTCCTAGAAGAGAAAAGAGAAACCAATAAGCATAAACAAACTGCTTTGTATCCTTGCATAACACACCATTCAATTTGGAACCTGATAATCTGCTTCAAGGCAACTATTTAAATGAATGATGTTTTATTCAGAAATACACCACTGTTATCACTACTGCATTCTGGAAATTCTCATGATGAGGCATTTTTTTTCCAAACGTATCTAAACTGACAACTTATGAGCCTCTCACTAAGGTCTACAAACTTGTTGCAAGTGAGCCTTCAAAATTATAGTGGTTTAAGCAGAAATTGTAAGTCAGTTCTTAGATTTTCATATCGATATAAAAATCAGAAAACAGTATTATTCTTTAATATTCAGGAAAAGATATAATTCTTCCAAAATGTTTTTCATTTGACACATATTTTAAGATTAGTCTATATCCCTTCCCATCTGCAGAAAACATCCTGGAGACACTGCAAGGAAACAACTGCACTAACAGCAAAAGAACATAACTTTTAGTGTTCATCTAAAATAGGAAATGTATTTTGGTTTTTGGTATTACTTTAAGAACATGCTTTCTGCTAATTACTTGCCCATGACTTATAAAACAGACACTTATGGAGCACATTCCTTTGAATATGTGACTGTTGTTAATACTAAAAAATGATGAGAGATGGTAAGAAATAGGCTATTGAAAACATGCACCACATACACGCATGCATTACTTGCCTTCATATAAAAAAAACATTCAGAATTAGTTCATCTTCTAATATGACACCATAGGAAAGTAAATCACTTAAGTAAAATAGAAAGCATGGGCTGCTGCTGAAATATACTGGGACTTTCTGAACTTAAGTAGCATGACTTTTTAAAATATATTCCTCTGAAGAAGCCTAGGTTTACCCCATAACTGAGGCAATGACTTGAAAACTACAATAGTCAGCAAATACTCTGTCCTTCACGACATCTGAGCTGAAAAAACCCTATTTTATCTCAGTTGGCCATTTAATTCGAACTGATGAGTGCCTTCAGGGTATTGTTTAAATAGAAAAAACTTACACTGAAAATTCTAATATATTGCCATCTTTCTGCAGCACCATGATACTCTCAAAGTATTTTCTTCTTTTTAATGTTAGAAGGTAGGGTAGGGTGGCACCTCAGAGACTAACTGGGTCAGAAAGGCTTTCATAGGCAACAACCTACTTCATCAGGTGCTGAAATGCTCTCTCTCACAAGCAGTTTCTTGGACTTTTCAACAGGAATGGGATATTATACAGTTTTGTTTTTTTTTAAAGCATAACAACAGTTCAACACTTCTTATTCCGATCAAAACCTAAACAACTGACTCCTGATATTTAAATGTACATATTTTGTAACAATCAAGACACGCCACAAAAATATCAGTTCTTCAAAAAAGGAATATCAAATTTCACTTGTACACCCTGAAGAAGTCATTTAAAACTGACAATCAAAGAAGCCCTTCTGTTAGGCTTTAATCTACATGGGACAGATGTGCTAGCGATAGGGTAAAAATGCCCTCCCATCCCATCCTGCCCCACTCCATCACATGCTGATACGAGAGGTGTTTTTTCTGCTTGCCTGAAACCCTTTCCCAAGTAAAGCAAGTTAAACCAAAAAAAGCTACTTCAATACTGGACAAAATTTATATAGTCGCTATACCAATGTAACTAAAACGGTTTAGGTCCTGCTGAAATTAAAAAAAAGGTCCATGTAGACAAGGACTCACTTCTTATTAGAATTTGGAGAAAGCCCAGAATGGGGGGAAATGTTCTCTTAGGTTTGGAAAGGGTGTGTAATTTCACAGCACTGCTAAACATGCCCTGAGTGTTTCTTGTTGTATGTAGTAACTCCAAAACAGTATCAGAGAAAAAGGTGAGTGGGGAGTCAGAGAAGGACTAGAAATCTAGGGGCTCTCGTGCATTCAACTGTGTCCCCACAGGAACTGTTTCTGATTTACGGTGGCATGAACCAGGGAACCCCATTTGCCAATGCCAGTGCTTAAGCTACAGGGGTGTAGGTTGTAGCCACGTTGGTCTCAGGACATAGACAGACAAGGTTCTTTGGGTCAATCTGATCTCTTTTATTAGACCAACTTAAATAGTTGGAAGAAAAATTTTTGGCAAGCTTTCGGGTTTAAAAACCCTTTGTCAGGCTATGGAAGTCTCTGCAGTTGGTGCGTGCTCTTCCTGGATGGCATGAAAAGTACTTAAACTAGGTGGGTCAGAGTGCCTTTTGGCCCCTGGAATCGGCGCACTGGCAATGCTTGCCATGTTATTATACGTCTCGTATCTGATGCGATTTTGGGGGTTGGGTTTATTTGGGGTTTTTTTTTGTTTCAGCCTCAATGCCTCAGCTGGGAGAGTCAGAAACACACAGGAGAGTTTGGCTTCCAATGACAGCCGTCCAAGCCTGGACCTGGCCGAGGAGCCGGGAAGGACAGCAAGCCGGGCTGAACACCACCTCCGGGCTCGTGTGCAGCAACCAACGACGCCGGGCTTGGGCCCCCACTCCCGAGG